ATTCTAATGGGAAGCGAACTCACGGGCTAGGAAGACAGCTCAGAGTATGTTTGTGACTGGACATCCGGTAACAAAATATCGATTTGACAGGGCAGCCGCACTCACGGGCTGCAAAATGTTGCGCAAATCAGACGTTTATTCAGTAGTGTATCCTAAACAGGATTTAGTTATGTTAAAACAGTTCTGATAGTGTCAGATAAACGTGCGAGGTATGCATAACGAAAGAATGAATACCAACACATTTCGGGAACACTGGAATATATTTTACAAACATATTTTTGTTCATGGCAATTTTGGTAGATTGCACTTTTGCAAGTTCTCTGGCAGAAGAATCAACGGCCACAATGCACACCCATATTTCAGAAAAAGTGAAAATTATTGTAGAAACAAGCGTCAATCAACAAACACACGATTAAATCACCAAAAAGTTTCTACAAACTCAGAAGCAGAGTTTGCCACTCTTCGATATTAGGATGTCTGGCGCCTAACTAGTATCCTTCAGGGTGAAAAATAGGTGTGTCACGAGAATAGACAAATATTTCAGTGGGTGATGTGTATACAGACATATACTGATTAGAATACTGATTTGATATAACTGTAGTGTATACCATAGAGAACATATTTATCAGACTTTTCGAGTGACTGTGTAACATCTGATATGGAATACAGCATTGCACTTATGAAACCTGGTCTGCGAAACACCTCGCTGATTATTGTGAACCCAGACATGACAGGACTAAGAAACTTGTAGATGAAATAAAGCGCATTAGATAAATTTGAGTATGTTCCAGAAAAGCTTAAAACAGCGCAGCTATTGACCTTACAAATCATCATACTTTAGTTTCCCGGCTCATGTGACCAAATTTGCACCAATATTTATTGGTCCATTCTTTGTAAATTTACTGTTTGACTGTTTATAAAGTTGCTTACATCTAACGGATCAATTTTCCCTCCTCTTATGTGAAAGCCAGGTCTGTTTCTGTTTGGCTCGGATTGATTGTCGGCATGTACTCTTTATTTGCTACATGCCAGATCAGGTTTATCCACCAACAGTGTGTCTCAGCCCGATGACTCTGTTTTTCATTTCCGCTATACAAACACACATACTGGCTTACAAATTGGAGTAAGGGACAATGGAGAAAAATGTTTGGAATAATTTTTTCCATACAGTGAAAAAAACAACACGTGATATGGTTCATCGGGTAGTTTATTGCCGATTTGGTGCTTTTGAAATCTACAGGATATTTAACGGGTTTGTTTTAGTTCCAACGCCTATATCCGCTAAAAGTTCCGTCCCGTGATCTGTTAGTCTACTTTGGAGATTTAGTCACAGACCGTTTGGAATTTCTGATATCACGTGACCCTAAAAGGATACCATTCTTCTACCAGCATGTTTTTGGAGCTTCATCTTATCTTCTATTTGTTCACCTGGCGTAAAAGTCCTGCAAAAACTGATTTCAGGGTAGGCTAGCCGGAGTTTCAAAAACGTGGTACTTAGATATCAATCGCCTTCTGCCTTAAGATGTACACGAATGCAAAATTCACGCATTCTGATCACCACCAGCAGTAAAGATAACTTAAACAAATAGCCTTCAAGCCGTCATCCTCGAGAACTTGGAGAGAAAAATTATGCGCTACGA